AAAGCTTGTGGACAGTTTTCTGTACGACAGGATGCTTAGAACCTTTCCTCTGCTACTGTCTGTTGTAAATCTCTGAGAAGATTAGACTGTGCCATTTCCTAAGTTGACTTGACTCCAGGCCCTTTTGTTATCTCTCATTTTCAGATGCACTCATCAGTATTTCCCCTGACACCAGGGTAACTTGAAGCACAAATAAATGATATTCCAGCCTTGTCTCTCGACAGGCCTGTTTGCATCCCCTCACAGCCTCCCTTCTGTGCATTTTTCTTGCTATCTTCTCTTTCCTCTCTCCCATTGGTACCCCCACTACTTTGCAGACTGTGCTTCAGCCTGACATCCTCTGGGATGTTGCCCTGTCTCAGTTCATGGTATGTGTTTCCTCAGCAATCTGCATGCTTTGTGATAAGGCACAGGTCACTTTTGTAACTGTCAGCTTAATTGTCATTGTGCTTTACTGCACCTTAATAACAGCCGAACTTTTGGGGGTACCTATTGTGAGATAGGTACTGAACTATGCATTTTTATTTACCTTTTTACCCATACCCTCACCAGTATGTATATATTTTTTTAAACTAAAATAACCATTTATTATAAAAGCAGTGTACGTTCATGGTGGAAATGTTAGAAATGTACACATCAGCCTGAGTAGCTCAGTTGGTTAAGCATCTGCCTATGGCTCAAGTCATGATCCCAGGGTTTTGAGATCCAATCCCCACATTGGGCTCCCTGCTCAGCAGGGAGTCTGCTTCTCCCTCTGTCCCCACTTATGCTCTGTCTGTCAAATAAATAAATAAATAAATAAGTAAATTTTAAAAAATAAGTTCTTTAAAAAATACAGCTCTGCAAAAATAAAATTACTATATACCTTACTCATAAGGATTGCCTCTCATAATGTGCAATTATATATTTGTAGATTTTTAAAACTCATCTATGTATGTGTATTTTTAAAAATTGATTTTTCCAAAATGAGAATGTACTGTGTGTTATTTTCAAAATTTTTAATTGTGGTAAAATATACATGAGTATATCATCTTAACCATTTTTAAGTGTACAATTCAGGAGTATTAAATATATTCACACTGTTGTGGAACCATCACCACCATCCGTCTCCAGAACTTTTTCATCTTTTCAAGCTGAAACTCTGTCCCCATTAAACACTAACTCCCCACTCCCCATCCCTCTTCATCCCAGCCCCTGGCAGCCACCATGCTGCTTCTGTCTCTGGGAATCTAACTGTTATAGGAACCTCATGTAAGTGGGATCATACAGTATATGTCCTTTGGTGTCTGACTTATTTTACTTAGCACAGTGTCCTCAAAGTTCGTCATGCTGTAGAATGTGTCAGTTTCCTTCCTTTATAAAGCAGAATAATAATTCATTGTATGTATGTGCTACATTTTATTTCTCCATTAATCCATCGATAGACACTTGGATTGTTCCTACCTTCTGGCTACTAGAATAATGCTGCTAGGAATATGGGTATACAAATACTTGAGTCCTTGCTTTTGGGGTTTTTCTTGTATCCGAAAGTGGAATTGCTGGGTCATATGATAATTCTATTTTTAAATCTTTGAGGAACCACTATACTGTTTTCCATAGTGACTACACCATTTTACTGTAAACGCTGTTTTATAATCTCCTTCTTCCAGTTAATTTTCAACTTCCCATGTCATTTTACCTAATACCCAGTTCACCCTGATTTGTTCCAAAAATGCCTTTTATATCTGGTTTGTTCAAACCAAGATATAATCCTAGACTAAGGGACACCTGGATAGCTCAGTGGTTGGGTGCATCTGTCTTCGGCTCAGGGTGTGATCCTGGAGTCCTGGGATGGAGTCCCACCTCGGGCTCCCTGCATGGAGCCTGCTTCTCCCTCTGCCTTTGTCTCTGTCTCTCTCTCTCTCTCTCTCTCTGTCTCTCATGAATAAATAAATAAAATTAAAAAAAATCATAATCCTAGACTAAATATTGCATCTGGTTATTATATACCTTATGTAATTTCTACTAACCTAGCACAGCTCCCTCCTTTTTAATTTTTTTTTTTTTTAAGATTTATTCATTAAAGAGAGAGCTCACACTAGCAAGAGGAGGGCAGAGAGAGAGAGAGAGAAAAAAAAAGACTCCCTGATGAGCTCGGAGCCAGTGTGGCTTGATCTCACAACCCTGAGATCATGACCTGAGCTGAAATCAAGTTGGACACTTAACGACTGAGCCACCCAGGCACCCCTAAATTTTTCTCAACAGCTTTATGAAAGTAGAATTTACATACTACAAAATTTGCTCATTTTAAGCATACAAGTCAAAGATTTTTAGTCAAGTTAAAGTTGTACAACACCATAATTAAATTTAAGAACATTTTCATCACCCCCAAAATGACCTCTTGTGCTCATTTGCAGTCATTCATTCCTCATTACCCCTTCTCCCAACCTAAGGAACCACTTATCTACTTTTTGTTCCTACGGATTTGTCCCCCCACCCCCACACCTGCCTTTTTAGTGTAAGCTCTATACCCAACTTGGGGCTTGAACCCATGACCCCAAGATCAAGAGTCGTGTGCTCTACTGACTGAGCCACCCAGGTGCCTCTGCCCCTTTTTTGATCCTATATTTAAATGGAATCACTCAAAATGTGGTATTTTGTGTCTGGGTCATTTCGCTTAATGTGTTTGAGGTTTGTCCGTGTTACAGCACGCATCAGTACTTCATTCCTTTCTATTGCCAAATAATACCCCATTTTATGGATATATTATGTTTTACTTACCCATTCACCAGTTGAAGGAATTGTGTAACTTGTCACTTTCTGGCCATTATGAATGATACTTATATGAACATCCATTTACAAGTATTTGTATGAATGTATGTTTTTATTTTTCTTGAGTAAATAGGAGTGAAATTGTTGAGTCATAATGGTAAATTTAAGTCTAAAAAAACACCAATCTTTTTTTCAGACTCCTGTTCCCCTTGCCTACCTTCCATGACACTTGTTAAAGAAACCCCTGGTCCATGTACCACCTCTTCTTTTTATATTTATCTGATTGCTTTCTCCTTATGGCTTTGAGCTTGTTCTCAATCACCTGTATTTCCTATAAAGTAGGAGTTAGATCTGGAGTTTTGTAGGAGTTATATCTGGAGTTTTGTTGGATTCGAGTTCAATGTTTTTGGCTAGAATGTATCACAGGCTCTGTTGTATACTTAATTCATATTGGGTCACATCAGCAGACACATAATATTTGAACTTCCTTTTTTTTTTTTTTCCATGTAGGTACTGTGTCCATCTTTTGTATTTGAAAAGACTATTCTTTTCCCCCATTGAATTACCCAGACAGGCTTATCAAAAGTCAGCTTCATGTGTGTGTCACTATTTACAAGCTCTTTAAAGAGCTTCCCTCCGACTCCTTGAACTCTATGTCTCTTCAGCCCAGCAAGACTGCTGTGCTCTGCTCAGGACTCACCTCCTTGCACTGAGATCCAGGGTACGCCTCCCAGAAGAAAGCCAGGCTTTCCCTTGTTTCCCTTGTTTCCCTTCTCTCAAAGGCCAGTCTCGTGTTGCCTCTGGAGCCTATCTCAGAGCGGTTGTTTCATATATTTTGTTCTGTTAGCTAGCTTTTTTACATTGGAGGGCAGGTTCTATGCTCCTTCACAGCTAGAAGCAAAAATCTGTTCTTTTTTTTTTTCCTCTCCTCTTCAGTTTGAATAGTTTCAATTGCTGTGTCTTCAGGTCTCCTGAGATTTTTTTCATCCTGTCTAATTTACAGTAAGTGTGTCTAGTGAAATCTTCATTTCAGATATTGTACTTTTCATTTCTGAAAGTTCCATTTGGTTTATATTTTCTAATTCTCTTCATACTCAGCATAATTGAACATATTTATAGTAGCTGTTTTTAAAATCCTATCTACTGATTCCATCATCTGTCATTCCTATGATTGACTAATTTTTCTCCTGGTCATGGGTCACATTTGTCTGCTTTTGGCATAGCTGCTTATTTTTTTACTGGATGGCAGTGTGAATGTTTTTGAGCATTTGTATTTTATTGTCTTCCTTCAAAGATGTTAAAGTATGTTTTGGCTGACAGTTATTCGCTATCAGCTCTGTCCTTTTGAAACTTGCTTTTAAGCTTTGTTAGGGCGGGTCTAAAATCCTCGTTCGGTCTCTTTACCCCTAGTACCAAGGCATGTGCCTTTGAGATCGCTCTACTGTTTGCTCTGAGTTTTCAGCCAGGTCTCTGTACTCTCGCTGGACAGAATTATAAAACCTCCCAGTTATTTCATGAGAACCTGTACTAGACATTTCAGTGGAACATTCTTATTATATATGTACCTTTGTGCTGCATTTTCTAATTTGATCCTTGCTACAACCCAGTAAAGTAGATAGTGTTATTTTCATTTTATAGATGAAGGTAGTGAGGTTTGTTTTGTGACTTGCTCATAGGTGGCAGGCCTGGATCTTGGGCCCAGGTCTCTGATCCATTTACAGCCATACCCTTTAAACTCCATGAGAACAGAGAGAACAGTTTTTCAGAGTATTCTCTCAGTTTTGAGTCTCACATTTACATATGTAACATCTCAAATCAAGAGGGTATATCTTAAATTTATGGCATAATTTTTCTTCCAGAAAATGGTCATTGAATTAGTTGTGGTGCATCAAAAATCACTATTATGTTTTATTTTTATTTTTTAAAGATTTTATTTATTTATTCATGAGAGACACAGAGGGAGAGAGGCAGAGACACAGGCAGAGGGAGAAGCAGGCTCCATGCAGGGAGCCCGACGTGGGACTCGATCCCGGGTCCCCAGGATCAGGTCCTGGGCCGAAGGCGGCACTAAACCACTGAACCACCCATCACTGTTTTAGAATCAAGGAAATATGTTTATCTCCAGGGCCTAATAGAGCCTTGATACATAATACATATATAATAAGCATTTGTATGCTAGATTCAAGAATATGGTAATTTTGTAAAGCAAAATGTCTCTAAAAGTTTTATGCCTCTGCTTGCCTCTCCAGGTATTTTATGCATGGTGTCTGTCGGGAAGGAAACCAGTGCCTGTTTTCACATGACTTGGCAAACAGCAAGCCATCCACCATCTGCAAATACTATCAGAAGGGCTACTGCGCCTATGGGACTCGATGCAGGCAAGAGCTACAGCTGCTTCCAACTGTCCTATCAAATTAAATATTATCAGAAACTCAGATCCTTCATTTGGAGCATGGGTGTCGATGAGGGGAATTTTTTTTTTTTTAAGATTTTTTTTTTTTTTAGAGAGAGCGTGTAGAGGGGTAAGGGGCAGAGGGGGAGGAAGAGATTCCTAAACAGCCTCCATGTCCAGCGCAGAGCCTGATTCGGGCTCAATCTCATGACCCTGATATCGTGACCTGAGCCAAAATCAAGAGTCAGGTGCATAACCAACTGAGCCATCCAGGCAAATTTTAATTTGAAAGTAATTTAACAATAAAAAGTACAGCAGATCATTTTGAAATATAAGTTTCATTACCATAATTTTAATTTTTCAAAATCACTTTTCAGGCCTTATTCTTATGAGATTTTCTTTTTTTCTTAATGAGACTTTTAAAAATTGCACCCACAGTATATATATCTTGCCTTTTTCCCCACTTAACATGTCACAAGCTTTTACCTAAGCTGCTACTTTATTTCCTACTTGTAATTTTATGTTTCATGATGTTAACATGCCATCATCTTATTAACTATTCCTCTCTTAGAAAGTTAAGTGATAGGGATGCCTGGATAGCTCAGCAGTTAAGCTCTGCTTTCAGCTCAGGGCGTGGTCCTGGAGTTCAGGGATCAAGTCTGACATCAAGTTCTCTGCATGGAGCCTGTTTCTCCCTCTGCCTATGTTGTGTGTCCCCCGCCCCGTCTCTCATGAATAAATAAATAAAATCTTAAAAAAAAAAAGAAAGAAAGAAAGTTAAGTGGTTTCCAGGGTTTTGTTTTGTTTTGTTTTGTTTTTTGCTGTGAGTACCCTTGCGGTGAACATTTGTATGCATACAGAGTCTGCCTTTTTCCCACTCAGTGTCTGTAGAGAAATTTTGTAAATTCTAAACAGGAAAACATTCCAGAAACCTGATCAGGTGCTTTTATACTGAAGAGCTTATATGTTCTTTCCTGTGCTGACTGGAGGGTATAGAAGTTGGCCCTGCCATGCCAGTGGGTACCCCGGAGAGTCCAGGAAGACTGGTCTCCAGCTATTACATTGGCCATCATTAACTTTTCAGGGACTTCTGCCAGAAGAACACTGGCTTGGATGTCAGAAGAGATTTCACTTCAACATCTGGCTGGAATTCTCAGGATTTCTCTGTGTTCTGGGATATTTTGCCTGTCCCACTCATATCCCCCTAGGACACTTAAGTGTATATGATAGACAGCAGTGTACCTACTACTCTCTTAGAATCACCAGGGATTTCTTACTAATTGATAAGCCTTTTATCATTTAACATATGGGAAAAGATTCTCATTTTCCACCTCCACAAATGGAACAGAAGAAAAGATGGTCCACGTCTAGAAGTGTGGGAGGCATGTGCAGGTGCTGTGTCCATAATGCATTTTCTGTGTGTTTTGTTTAGATATGATCACACGAGGCCTTCTGCTGCAGCTGGTGGTGCTGTGGGCACCATGCCCCACGGTGTGTCCTCCCCGGGTTTCCATAGTCCTCACCCTGCTTCCGACCTCACTGCATCTATTGTGAAAACTAACTTACATGAGCCTGGGAAACGTGAGAAGAGAACATTAGTACTTAGAGACCGAAGTGAGTGAGCAGAGTCATTTCATTGCCTCTTTTTGAAAAGCAGTGTTGTTTGCTCGTGATGCTCCTTTCTGGCCCTCCCTTGTCAGAGGGCTCCTAACCTAGTCTCCCTCCCAGCTATTCAAGTGTAGACCCCAGAACTGTCCTGAGAACAGCTTCCTTTGGCTGCTGAGCATGCAGGTGATGCGTTGGGCCTACAGGGTGGGTCACTGCCAAATTTGGCCTGGCAAGAGCTACAGAGTGACTTTTTGTCAGTGTGTGGCTGCCATGGGGTGCTTTCCCAATTCTGAGAAGCACCCGGCTGCTCATTTCAAAACTACATATTTTGATAAAGTACATGTTTCACTGTTTTATTTCTAGGTCAGTTCAGAGTCTTAGTTATTATGCCTAGCCAGTATTTGATATTTTAGGTTGCAACTCTGATAATATTGGGGTTTGGGGAGTGGTTTGTACCTTGGACCAGGGTTTGGGGAGGAGGTGGTAGGACTACAAATCATAAAAGTTATTTTTATTGGCTAGTCCTCAACGAGTAAAAGGATTTCTGGTTCTTGGAATTGTGTGACATAAGATAGGTAGATTCCATCCTAAGCAAACAAGTAATTGTTCTAGTCAAACGTCCTTTCTAAAAAGACCAGAAGTGTGTGAGGTGGGAATGCCATAGAGGAGTTCCACACTGGCCTCAGGACCCAAAGACTCACTAAATTTTCATTCTAGTTTACTGTAAAATGATAGATAACTTCTATTATAAAGGAAAACGCTGTATTTTATTGACTTCATTCTAAATTCCCATTGACTTATATTTTGGTGTTTAAAAAAATTATTACTAATTTTTTAGTGTTAACTGGTCCATGGGTTGACATTTCCGTATTTGTCATTTTTAAATAGAAACTTTATAGTTCTTTCATTTAAATATATCATGGTCCGTTTTGCTAATTTCTGTATGACCCAAAGAGTGGAATTCCCAAGGTCAGGGTTACTTAATTTGTTAGGTTTTGACTAACTGCTTACCAGAAAGTTTGGGCTTGTTTTCACTTGTGTGTGTGTTATTATGTTTTGTATTAAGATCTCTCTGGCATGGCTGAAGAAAAGACTTGCCCAAGTGTGGTGAGTAATCCAGGAGGCTGCAGTGATCTCCAGAACAGCCCAGAAATGAAGCCGCATTCCTACCTCGATGCAATCAGGAGTGGCCTTGATGATTTAGAAGCCAGCAGCTCCTACAGCAGTGAACAGCAGCTGTGCCCCTATGCAGCTGCTGGGGAGTGCCGGTTTGGGGATGCTTGTGTCTACCTGCATGGGGAAGTGTGTGAAATCTGTAGGTTACGAGTCCTGCACCCCTTTGACCCAGAGCAAAGGAAAGCTCATGAGAAGGTAAAATGGCAAGCCTTTGCATGAACTTATTTTTAAGAAATTTGAAATGCACTAAGTGACAAAATTGTTGGTGTTCCTATAAGCATCCCTCTGCCAATAATACCTGCAATATGTACCTGGCATTATTTATAATCCTATTTTTTTTTAAAGATTTTATTTATTTGACAGAGTGAGAGACCACAAGCCAGGGGGAGGGCAGGGGAGGAGGAAGAAGCAAAATCCCCACTGAGCAGGGAGCCCCATGTGGGGTTTGATTCCAGGACCCCAGGATCGTGATCTGAGCCAAAGGCAGACGCTTAACCAACTGAACCACCCACGCACCCCATAACCCTATTTTCAAGTCCTTTTCCCTGTTGTCATTTTGACAGTTTTTAATTATTTAGAATGAAGCAAAAGGGAAGAGGCACCAGAAACAAAGCAATGCAAAGTTCAGAGAACAAATCTAACTCAAGAGTATGGATGGATGGGTGGGTATGTGTATAAAAGAGGAGAGATGCATTACATACACATCCTCCGTATGTTTACATATCCTCATGCTTGAGGTCCAGCCTGGCTGAGTTCTGGAGAATTTGAGGAGCCAAGTATTGGAAGGGACCTTTCAGGTCATCAGGTCTGCAATATTTCTGGATGCTCTACCTCACACTAGGCTCAGTGTGAAGATGGGTAAGAGAGATGGAAAGGAGCCCATAGCTACAGTGTTAGAGCTTATGATGGTGAGCAGGCCATGGGGTGTTGAGGGCTGAGTCTGTTCCTTCCCACTGCCTTCTTAGGGGTGTTCAGGAGAGCACGAAATTAGAGCTTTCCTCTGCGCCCAGGTGTGCTGAGGTTTTTGTGCTGCATGTATTGGTTTATCTCCCATCCGTGTCCACCATGAGCTTCCCAGGGCAGAACCTGAGGCTTCAGACTCTGCATTGACTCTCATGCCTGATACACAGTGCCTCACATGGGGGGTATTCAGCAACTACTTACTGAATGAATACATTCATTAAATGGCTTGTTCTCTCTCTCTCTCTCTCTCTCTCTCTCTCTCTTTTTTAAGATTTTATTTATCTGTTCATGAGAGACACACAGAGAGAGAGGCAGAGACACAGGCAGAGGGAGAAGCAGGCTCCATACAGGGAGCCCGATGTGGGACTCGATCCCAGGTCTCCAGGATCATGCCCTGGGCTGAAGGCGGTGCTAAACTGCTGAGCCACCCGGGCTGCCCAATGACTTGTTCTCTTGAGAAGTGGTGCTGCTTACCTCTGACTCTGAACGACCATCCTAGTGTTTTAAGTTAAGGATTGTTCAGCATTGCTGATTGGTGTAAACCAGAGTGGGTAAAGACAATGCCCAGAAGAGCCTGGAAATGGGGGTCCTAGGCTCTGTGAACTCTGTGATCCCAGGCTGGTCCTCTAAACTGACGGTGACCATACCATGTTAGGAAAACAAGAGGCTGAGCAGGTGATGTTTGAAGTTCTTTTTGTGGTCTGAGAGAGCTTTGTGTCTTGAAGCCAGGGGCTGCTGGGCTCCACCTCAGGCAGTCATGGTGTGCGTGCCTTCCTGATCTTGGGTGTGGCAGTGTGGCCACCGTTGCTTCCTGGCTCTTGCCTCTCCCCAGCAGCCTAATAGCGTTGCCCTCCTTTCTCTCCGTACTTCAGATCTGCATGTCGACATTTGAACACGAGATGGAAAAGGCCTTTGCCTTCCAAGCAAGTCAGGATAAAGTATGCAGTATCTGCATGGAAGTGGTCCTTGAGAAGGCATCTGCTTCTGAGAGGAGATTTGGGATTCTCTCCAACTGCAATCACACGTACTGCTTGTCCTGCATCCGGCAGTGGAGATGTGCCAAGCAGTTTGAGAACCCAATCATTAAGTAAGTCCAGCTAGGGGTCTTAGGTATGGGAGCTGGGGAGTTAGATTTGGGGCCTTCTTCTATCTACTCTTAATTCCTCCCTTGGCCTCCAGTGTGAAAATAACTAGTGAGTCCTAGCCCCTAACTGCAGGAGCCTGGGCATGTCAAGTAGCCTTCTTTTTTAAAATATGTGCCTTTTCCTTTAAAATATGGGTAACAGCTCCTGCCAACTGTCAGGGTGATTGGGGCCACTCAGCAGGGATCATCTGTGTGAGAAAGTGTTAATGGCACTGGCCTTTTGGCTCCAGCACTAACAGTTACTAGTGGTTGTCTCTTAGGCTGATTGCCTTTTACATTTTCAGCCTTTTTTTTTTTTCATCTATAAAATAGGATTGTTTGAGGATTAAATGGAATAATGCATCTAACACATTTTACGTAGTGTATGATACATAGGATGTGCTCCATGGAGCCAACACAAGCTTCTTTTTTTTCCCTGGCTTTATTGAGATATCTGACGTATAACAACACAGGAGTCTTAAATTTTGCAGAGGGACAGGGGAAGAGCTTACTCATACTGAAGAGAATGTGTGCTGTGTACTGTTAGAAACTCTTCACGTAAATTAGCTTCTAATTCTCTCAGACCCAGCGATCATTCTCATTTACAGATAAGGAAACTGCGGTAGAGTGAAGTCAAGTAATGTGCCCAGAGTCACATGTTTGTGTGGTAAAATAGCTTTATTGAGATGAAAGTGTGTAGTTCAGTGGTTTTTAGTATTTTCACAGTTGTGCAACCATTACTTCAGTCTCATTTTACATTTTTATCCTCCCAAAAAGAAACCTTTGTTTGCCTTCACTGCCCATTTCCTCCCTGCTGCTTCCAGCCCCTGGCAGCCCCTCCTCTACTTTCTGCCCTCCAGCTTTGCCTGTTTGGATGCTGATTGGAAATGGAGTCATACAGTATGTAGCCTTTCTTTGTCCAGCTTCTTTCCCTTGGCATACTACTCTCGGAGTTCACTCATCTGCCATGTGTGTGCTGGTGCCTTGTTCCTGGTCCTAGCCAAGTAACATGGCCTCGTGTAGATACCCATATTTTATTTTGTCATCAGTTGACAGGCATTTGGATTGTTTCCTTCTTTTGGTTATTGTGAATAATGCTACTGTGAATACTCATGGACAAGTTGTTGTGTGGACTGTTTTTATTTCTTTTGGGTAGATACCTAGGAGTGGGATTGTTGGGCCATACGGAAACTATTCAGCATTTTAAGGAACTACCGGGCTGCTTTCCACAGCAGCCACACCATCAACACAGGAAGGAACCAGCTGCTCCCCACACTCAGCAACTCTTGTTACTCTATTTCTGATTTTAGCCATCCTGTCAGGTGTGAAGTGGTATCTTGGATTTCCCTGCTAACTAATGATTTTGAGCATCTTTTTCTATATTTTTTGGTCATTTTGGAGAAATGGCCTACATAAATCTTCTGCCCATTTTACAATTGGGTTTGTTTTAAAGATTTTTTAAATTTTTTTAAAAGATTTTATTTATTTGACAGAGAGAGAATAAGCACAAGCAGGGGGAGCAGCAGAGGGAGAGGGAGAAGCAGGCTCCCCGCTGAATAGGGAACCCAATGTGGGGCTTGATCCCAGAACCTTGGGATCATGACCTGAGCCAAAGGCAGACATTTAACCAACTGAGCCAACCAGGTGCCCCTAAAGATTTTATTTTTAAGTAATCACTTTACAAAGGTGGGGCTTAAACTCACAACCCTGAGATCGGGAGTTGCTTCTTCCATTGACTGAGCCAGCCAGGTGCCCCAAATTGGGTTGTCCTCTTATTGTTGAGAAGAACATGTTTTTAGCAGTAAATAAGGTTCTACACCTAAACTAATATTATACTGTATGTTAACTAAGTGGAATTTAAATAAAACTTGAAAAAGAAAACAGTAAAGAAGGTTCTTAGGTGATTATGATTGCACCTTTTGGAATTTTTGGTTAGGAAACATCTGGAGTGGTCATGTATTTGAGCAAGGAGTTTGCTGGTTCAGTGTACACAGGATTTGTAACTTCATCTCTCCCATACTAACCTTGATTGTAATTTCAGGTCTTGTCCAGAATGCCGTGTGATATCAGAGTTTGTAATTCCAAGTGTGTATTGGGTAGAAGATCAGAATAAAAAGAATGAGTTGATTGAAGCTTTCAAACAGGGAATGGGGTAAGTACTTTGACTTTAGACATGATCCCGGTGCCTGCCTGGCAGATGCATTATATTTACATGCCTTTGAACCCCACAAGGTAATAATGTAATTTTTGAAATTTCAGCTTTGAGTTCTAACTAACAAATAAAATTGTAAGATATTTAAAGTGTCATGGTGATTTGATCAACATTGTGGGAGGATACTCCCATCTAGTTAATTAACGCATCCATTACTGTGTGTGTGTGTGTGTGTGTGTGTGTGTAGAAAACCTTCCAAGTTCTACTCTCTTATTAGAAAATTTCAGTTTTATAAACAGTGTTAACTATAGTCACCATGTTTCACATGAGATCTTTATTCATCATATAGGTGAGAGTTTGTATCCTTTTATCAACTTTTCCTTATTAACCCCACCTCTTGGCCTCTCCGGGAACTCCTTTTTTACTACGTGAGTTTGACTGTGTGTGTTTGGGTTTGTTTTTAGATTCCACATGTAAGTGATCTCATACAGCATTTGTTTTTCTCTGTCTGGCTTATTTCACTTAGAATAATGCCCTCAAAGTCCATCCATGTTGTCACAAGTGACAAGATTTCCTTCTTTGCCAAGGCTGAATACTATTCCATTGCATGTATATTCCATATCTTCTTTATCCATTCATCTGTTAACAGACACTTGGGTCGTTTCCATGTCTTGGCTGTTATGATTAATGTTACAGCAAATATGGAAGTGTAGGTATCTAACAGGCATGAAGTGTTAGCTCATTGTGGTTGTGATTTGCATTTCCATGATTTTTTGTGATGTTGAGCACATTGTCATGTGTCTGTTAGACATTTTGATGTCTTCTTTGGGAAAATGTCTATTTGGTTCCTTTGCCCATCTTTAGGTGGAATGTGGTGGTGGTTTTTGTTCTTTTTTTTTTTTTTTTTTTTTTAGATTTTTTAATGTATTTTTTCACGAGAGACACAGAGAGAGGCAGAGACATAGGCAGAGGGAGAAGCAGGCTCCTCACAGGGATCCAGATGTGGGACTCAATCCCAGGACTCCAGGATCACGCCCTGGGCTAAAGGCAGATGTGCCCAACCGCTGAGCCACCCAGGCGTCCCTGGTTTTTGCTCTTAATATGAGTTCTTTAAATATATTGGATATTACCCCCTTATCCAGATAGATGATTTGCAAATATTTTCTCCCATTTAGCAGATTGCTTCTTCATTTTGTTTGGTTTCCTTTGCTGTGCAGAAACTTCTTAGTTTGATGTAGTCCCAATTGTTTATTTTTGCTTTTGTTGCCTTTGTTTTTAGTGGCAAATCCACAAAGCGTACCAAGACCAATGTCCAGGAGCTTACCGTCTTTGTTGTCTTCTAGGGGTTTTTATGGTTTCGGGGCTTACATTCAAGTCTTCAATCAATTTTGAGCTGATTTTTGTGTATAGTATAAGATAGTGGTCCAGTTTCCCCAACATCCTTTATTGGACAGATTGTTTCTTCCTCATTCAATGTCCCTGGCTCCTTTGTCATAAATTGACCTTATCTGCGTGGGCTTATTTCTGGGCCCTCTGTTCTGTTCCACTGATATGTGTGTCTGTTTTTCTGCTAGTACTGTAATTGTTTGGATTTACTATAACTTTGTAGTACAGCTTGAAATCAGGAAATGGGCTGTCTCCAGCTTAGTTGTTTTTTCTCAGGAGAACAACAAAAACAGCTTTGGCTGTTTGGGGTCTTTTGTGGCACTATACAAATTTTGGAGTTGTTTGTCCTATTTCTGAGAAAAATGCCTTTGGAATTTTGATAGGATTGTTTTCAATCTGGAGATTGCATCGGGGAGTGTAGACATCTTAACAGCATCCTTCCAGTCCTTGAGCATGGGATACTTACCATTTACTTATGCCTTTCATTTCTTTCATCTTGTCTTACGCATACAAGTCAGTTTCACTTCAGCTTAATTTAGTCCTAGGTATTTTATTCCTTTTCGTGCAATTATAGATGAGGTTGTTTTCTTAATTTCTCTTTCTGGTAGTTCATGGTTAATCTATAGTGGCAACTGATTTTTTATATATTGATCTTGTATCTTGCAACTTTATTATTATAAGGTATGGATGTAATTTACATACATTAGAACCCAGCAGGGTGGGATCCCTGGGTGGCGCAGCGGTTTGGCGCCTGCCTTTGGCCCAGGGCGCGATCCTGGAGACCCGGGATCGAATCCCACATTGGGTTCCCGGTGCATGGAGCCTGCTTCTCCCTCTGCCTGTGTCTCTGCCTCTCTCTCTCTCTCTCTCTCTCTCTCTCTCGTGACTATCATAAATAAATAAAAAATTAAAAAAAAAAAAAGAACCCAGCAGGGTAATACTATGATTTTTGCCTTTGAAAGCTTATGTATTTAAGAGAAAAATAAAAGTTTTTTATATTTACTGAGATACTATTTCCAGTGCTCTTTGATTTGGTATATAATTTTACCTTCAGCCTCAAGAACTGCCTTCAGCATTTGTTGATGTGGTGATGAAGTCTTAGTTTTCTTTTTAGCAGAAAGAGCTTTTCTTTTCGTCCTTAAAGGATATTTTCATTGAATATATTGGTCAGATTGGTCCTGTTTACATCTTTGTCTCCTTTTTCAGTGAGTACAATTCTGGGTTAATAGTTTGTTTCTTTATTTTCTTTTAGTATTTTGCAAATGTTGTTCCACTATATTCTGGCCTCTAGTTTCTGAGAAGTCAGTAGTAATTCAGATTGTAATATGTCATTTTTTCTGGGGTTGCTTTTAAGATTGTCTCTTTATCTTGGTTATCAGCAGTTTGCTCTTTTGCCTGGGAGTGGTTTTCTCTGAATCCATAAGATTTTATCATTTGGCCATCAAATTTTTCTCCTGCCCTGTTTTTTCTTCTCTTGCTCCCCCACCCCCACTTTTGAAGATTTTATTTATTCATTTGACCCAGAGCACAAGCCATGGCAGAGGCAGAGAGCATTTGACCCAGAGCACAAGTCATGGCAGAGGCAGAGAAGCAGACTTCCCTGCTGAGCAGAAAGCCTGACTTGCTGCTGGTCTCCATCCCAGGACCCTGGGATCATGACCTGAGCCAAAGGCAGATATTTAACCGACTAAGCTGCCCAGGTACTCCTCTGCTGGGACTCTTAATAACATGTACTAGATTTTTTGCTACTGCCCCACAGGCATTGGGGCCTGTTCATTTCTTTCAATTTTTTTCCACCTCACTGTTCATCTTCTCCAATAGTGGCTGAACTCCTTGTCATCTAGAAGTTCATTTCTAGGTCATGTTTTCCTGATTATTCATATGTTGAATGTTTGGGATCATGGCCTAAACACTGCCAGTGTTAACCTGGATGGTAGAAATCCTGGATTCTCTTAAACAATAAAGCATTGATGTTTTTATATGCAGGTAAAAGTGTTTAAGTTCCAGGTCTTGGGCAGCAGTTCTAATCTGTTTGGTTTCTTATCCTCCGCTAAGTTGCTGTGAGCCTCTGCTGTACTGATGTCCCAGTCAGCCATTGGGCTGAATTAATACATAGTATCTGGAGTCCTCCCACTCCTGCCCTTCTCTGGGCAGGATTGCTTCCTCGCTTTCCAGTGGGTGATTTCCTCCCAACTCTGTTGGTCCTTCGGGCCAGGGAGACTAGATTTGCTCCTCTAGTTTAGACACCTGACTTCGGCTTGCTGTGGGCCAAAAGCTAGAACTCCCTTCTTGCCATCCTGTTCTTCCAGCCCTTCTGCTATTGTTCATTCTCCAGTGCCTTCAGGTCTTTTAAAAATTTCTGTTGCTAGTTATCTGCCTTCAGGTCTTTTAAAAATTTCTGTTGCTAGTTATCTGCAACAGAGGGTCGGGGCTGGTAGAAGGGTGCTTGGCAGTACTACTAAAGGATACCATATGTCACTTTCAGATTGCCTGTTAATTACTAAAGGTTTAATACTTTCCTGGTTTACCAGTGTCCCTGCCCATGTGGTGTTATCTGTCCACCAGAGGGCAGGAGTGGCAAGGCAGCCGGGCCAACCTGTAGGAAGCAGCTATGCTGGAATGGTCTGGAAATTCTTGTTATTTCTGTTTAGGTCTTTCCTGGCCTTAGTTTTCATTGATGATGGTGTTACGAATTTCACACATTTAATGGGCACCTAGTAGAGGCTAGGCACCCTCAAGCTAAGCACCAGTGGGGGACATAGAGTATAGATTAGTAAGATAGTTTCATGGGTAATTGCAAAATGGCAATTGTGATACATGTTTTCTGGTGACAATTCTTCATGAGAGGCCCAAGCCACACGTCACAACAGAGAGAGCACTTGGATCCCTCTGGGAGCATCAGAGAAAGCAGTATGGGAAGCTGAGCCATGAAGCATGAACAACGATCTATGTGAGAGGGAGGGATACAAATGCTGCATTTGGGGAGCAGTGCAAGTGGCCCTGGGGTTAAAAGAGGTGTGGGGAAGGATGTCCAGAGACAGACTGGAGTGAGATCTAAGGGGACAGACCAAGTGACACACTGGCACACTCCTCAGTCATAGTGTGAAGACCAGAACCTGATGGGAAGGAGGCCAGTTAAGAAATGACTGTGGCAGGGCAGCCTGGGTGGCTCAGAGGTTTAGTGCCGCTTCGGCCTAGGGTGTGATCCTGGAGACCCAGGATCGAGTCCCACTTCAGGCTCCCTGCATGGAGCCTGCTTCTCCCTCTGCCTGTGTTTCTGCCCCTGTCTCTGTGTCTCTCATGAATAAATAAATAAAATCTTTAAAAAAAAAAAAAGACTGGCAGCGGGGAGCAGGATATAGCATCCACGTGGCTTCAGCAGTGTGGGGACAGGAGGGATGGGGTGACTGGGAACAGGCTCTGTAAGCAGGGGTAACAATTGGATAGGAGAGCTGAGAACAAAGAGGCAGTCTGCGTGCACTAGAGGCTTTTATCCTTGGTGACCAGGTAAGGCTGGGGAAGGAGGAAGAGTTATTTGGGGGGGCAGGACTAGAGAGTGATTTTTTTCAACCTGTTGGGTTTATTAAAGCCAGTGTCTAGCGACCTGGTGAGAACTGGCTGCTTGAGCAGTCATTTGAAGGTCTACTCTGAGCCGCTAGGGTGGGGGCCGTGGCAGGTGCGGGCCCCCAGCTAGCACCGTGCTGTTTCCCTCAGTGGATGGTTGTTGAGGAGCTTTCTCTATGCTGCTCTGGGGTCTCAGAGGTCCTCGTCACCAGTCTCTGCCATCCCCTTGTCTGAGAAGATAGACCAACACTGAAGATCCCCATCCTTGTCTGCCATGGTCACGTGCCCCAGCTACCCCTGGTAGCAGTCTGCCCTTTCTGCTGCGCCACTTCCCTTCCTCAGCACTCCCAGATGCCCTCTTGCCTACTTGGGTGTCTCCACCATGGGATCATGTATGATCGTAGAAGTCAAATTTCATTTAAGCAAGAAATGGTAATTTTCTAGTTGGTTGTAGGAGCCCCTCAGGAGCAGGGGCTCTTAACATAGAGATCTATGAGTGGAATGTGAAGATCGGTCTATAAAACACAGCAGAAAGTTAATTTTTTTACCGTGTGTTTTATTTTACCCATTTAAAAACACTGTTCCAAGAAAGGGGCCCATAGCCAACATACGGAGTTAAGAAGCTCTGCTCTAGATCTAGAAGGTGAAGACCAAAGAAAATTGGAATGAGACATGTAACTTTGGGCAGCTAATAGTCCTGGCTTTTCTGTGCCTAAGTCAAGTCTCCCTCACCCCTGACATCACTGCTGGCCAGGAGGAAGGGAAATGTCCCTGGGTGGGGCTCCTGCTGCTACTTCTAGCTGAGGCTTTAGGAGCATAGAGCCCAGACAGCTGGCCCAGAGGAGCTATCAGGCCTGTACTCCCCTGAAGGCCTTTGTGGAGGTGCACTGGGAGCTCAAAATACTGGGGTCCCTGTGCAGGTTATGTTCTGTGTGCGGCTGCCTATCACAGTGGCAGATTGGGAATCAGCGTCCCAACTTCACTGAGCCTCAACTTCCCCACCAATAAAATAAGGCTCATCTAGCTCCAGCATTGCAGGCGGGGATGGAAGGCAGCCTTGGTTCTCCCAGGCCCCAGGTTCTCCCAATATCCTTTTGACGTTTCCTTTCTGTTTTTCAGAAAAAAAGCTTGTAAATACTTTGAGCAAGGCAAGGGGACCTGCCCATTTGGAAGCAAATGCCTTTACCGCCACGCTTACCCTGACGGGCGGCTGGCAGAGCCTGAGAAGCCCCGGAAGCAGCTCAGTTCTGAGGGCACCGTGAGGGTAAGGACTCTGACATCTCGGTCAAGGACACTTACCTGGTGGCATGTCCAGGTGCTGCCCCTAGCCCCTTCTGATTGCCTGGGCAGCAGGAATGGGGCAAGCCAATGAAAAATAAACTGTCCGGCCTTCGTGTCGCCGTTAGTAACATCAGGCATGTTTGCTGGCTGTTTCCGCAGTTCTTTAATTCAGTGCGGCTCTGGGATTTCATCGAGAATCGAGAAAGCCAGCATGTGCCCAGCACTGAAGATGTCGACATGACAGAGCTCGGGGACCTCTTCATGCACCTCTCTGGAGTGGAGTCGTCAGAACCCTAAGGAATAGACGGGTTCCCCTGCACCTTGGCTCTGCCGGCCGAGCATTCCCCAAGCTAGAGCGTGCAGAGCTTCCTTTACTGCAACCTGAGGTGGCGCGATGCTTGGGTTGGAGGGCGTTGTACTTACTCGGTCTCATCCCCTCTCCATTACTACAGCCGTGGGAGGAGTGAGGATATAAAATAACCCAACATGTATATGGAATTGCTACTTTTATAGTTGATCTCTTTAGTGCACCCCAAGCTCCTCGAGGAGACCAGCTAACCAGCCAGAGCTTTGATTGATTGCTTTTAATAGCAGCCTGGCTCCTGTCCTTCGTGAGCTTTAGCTCCCTAGAAACAGTCACCTTGTAACTGCCTTTAAGCAGGTTTTTCTTGACAACAAAGGATTCTTCACCCCTGTAAGACGATTCCTCTATAGTGGATTTCCCTCCTGTACCTAAATAGTGTGTAGTCAAAAACTGTTTCTCGAAAAGCTCTGTATAAATCAACTTAATGTGGGCACTGCACACCTTAGCATAAAACCTGTAGCGTGTTCTTGTGTCCCAAATCAGAGCAGGAGTCTTGTTGTCTATGTGTTCAATAAACTAGTAAAAACCTTCCCTGCAAGGGTGGGGGTGCCTGGAGTAGCAGCAAGTGTAGGGCAGCGAAGCAGAGGCCTAGCCCCTCACTGCTGGTTGGTGTCGTGGGGCCGCATGCTCCACAGAAAGAAACACATCCCCGACTGTCACCTGTGGGCTTTCCTGGGGCTCAGGCCCCAAGGGTCATTTTACTGGGTTCGGCACACACGTGCTCTTATGTGTGGCCCCTACTCTAAGCCATATATTCGACCTGTAAAGCTTGGCTTTGATTTGAAATTCTGTAAAAAGTTAACAGCACCCAACAAAGTTTCTATGACCTGGTGGCAGTGCTCCTGAAAACAAGTCATCTGTCTTGTGACTAACTGAAGGAACATAACTTTGTGAATCAAAACAAACCCACCCCAAGCCTGAATTAATCTATTTTTATAAACAGTTATAGATACCAAATATTTTATAAAATGCATTAAAGTGTGGGTAGAAGAAGGTCTATTCTTACCTGAGTTTAGAGTGCTTGCGTAATTTTTATAGTTAAGTCTTTAGTGAGGGTGACAGCACAAAGGCTTAGATTCCTTCCCAGCAGAGGCTCTGGGCCCATTTCCTGCTGCTTGAGTTCTTGCTCCAGGAGGGATGAGCAAATGGGAGAGCTCAAGCTATGAGCTCAGTAAAAGGAAGAAACAGCCATTAAACCTACATTTAATTTATTTTATTAAAATAACATAATTGAAGAACCATCAGATAACTGTATTTTGTCCGGCGCAATAAAAACAAAATTAAAACCCAAATCATCAAGAAAACCTGTATTCCTGGCTTCCTTGCATACACAAGATGTGGCTGAAGAGAAAGGCTGGCCCGGCAACCCCGCCCCACAGGGGCAGCTCCTGGAAGACAGATTCAGCACGATGGAGGACTGCTCCCTGAGGGCAGAGATGGGAGGGGCGGGCCACTCGCCTCTTCTGGAAAACCGTCCCACTGCGCTGGAGACCTCCAAGGAGCGTCCCCAAATTCAAGGTCCATTAGTACCAACACAGGCTCCTTCAGGCGGCCGTGGTCTCTCGACAGTCCTGTACTGGGCCGTTTGGTGTGTTATGTGCAAAACTACCTGTTTGACGCCACACCGCTATCTCTGAAGAACCGTCCTTGCCATGATAAGCCTTCCTCCGAGGGCTGATACCCACGGTCCACGTGTCCATATCAGGGCCGGTCTGTCTGCTACCTTCGTTTCCCCTCTGAGTGCTTTTCCTTGCCCTAAAAATACTCAGCCAACAGCTGGGGCCCCAGATCACATACTGCCATCTGGCAGCTATGGGTGCATCGGCTCAAGAGAACGGGGGATGCAGGGAAAGGGAGCAGGACAAACCGGCGTTTCGAATGGCTTCCTTCTCCCAGGGCCAGGAAGGGTAGAAAAGAAGGCAACATGAAGTTAAGGCCCTGTGAGTAGTCTAGAAGGTCCTTAGCAGCAGCTTCTCTGAAAATGAGCTCTCTGCCTCCATGGAAAGGGAGCAGAAAGGTGGTGCCTGCCGACTGCCCTTCCTCCCCTGGTGGCCTGAGTGCAGGTGCAAAGTCAGCTAGAAGACAGGCAGTCTGGGGGACGTGGTCAGCGTGCAGGCGTTGATGTCCTCAGTGTGGGCCGCCCGATGCAGGGACGGCTCAGAAGCGCTCCTGTTGATCTTCGGCAGAGAGTGCTGGAGCAGCTCGATGGAAGACAGGATCTGAAATGCAGTGTCAGGAGGTGGCCTTGGTGTCACAGAGGGGAGGAGCCCAAACAAAGGCCCTGCCCATCCCACCTGCACCGCCTGGCCCAGCTGGCAAGCCCACCCCTACGTTCCTCTCATTAGGAAGTCCTACTCGAATCTGTTGCTGGGCGCCTGAGCCAAGTCTTACCTGGGGAAAAAGAGGCCTCTCTTCCTTCACCTTTTTCACACAGTCGGCTACCAGCCTCTTCATTGCTTTGGGGCAGTTCTTATATAGCTTACTGAGGTCTGGGGAGGCGTACCCTCGGCCCACCATGAAGATGATCTGGGAGGAAGGAAACAGGGCGGGGAGGAGGACAAGAGTGACAGCAGCAACTTCTAACCCTCCTGCTGCTCAAGCCGGCAGGAGGCCCAGGGGCTCCCGCAGCCCAGTCCCACCGGCCAGCACCAGGGCCCATACCTGATCACGGTTATTGATGTGGGAGTAAGGGAGCTCCCCCGTCATGAGCTCATAGAGCACAATGCCGTAGGAGTAGACGTCGGACTGGAAGCTGAATGGATTATTATCCTGCATTCGGATCACCTCGGGGGCCTACACAACAAAACGCATTCAGTCCTCACCATCTGAGCCCCACAGACATCCAGGCACCAAGCTGTGTCTCCCCCCTGGGTAGGAGAGTCCTTCCCCCCTCAGGTCAGATTAACACAAGCTCAGGAAGCCTAGTCACGGGGACTCAGCACCTATGCCTCTGCATGGTTCTGATCACTAGCTTCTGGGAAACCCAAATTTGCCTCAGGCTGTCTGATGTCACTGAAGGCCTCCCTGAGGTATCTGGACTTCGGGGAAATGTCAAGGAATTCGGTAGGTTTGCACATAGACCTCCATCCAGGGCACCCCTTTTGCCCTGCACCCTGCTAGTATGAGTGTCGCCTCCTTACCATCCACAGGATAGAGCCAGTGGGTTGTTCAACCTGCTGAGAACCGCTCCAGCGCGACTTTACTGTTGCCAAACCAAAATCTCCGATTTTCACCGTCAGGCCTTCATGGAGAAATATATCTCAATGCTTGTTAAGGACTCTGGTTTCAAAAGAATGGTCAAGTTAATTTTGAAACACTTCCCAAAGGTGTTAAAGAGCACAGCATCTCTCTGTCCCCCATCAGTCCCCAGCCTTTTCTGCACTGATTTGCTTGAATTTCTAGTTTTAGAAAATGCCTCTGAAATGGTCCTTCTAGGAAGCACGCAGCAGTTGTTTCAGGGCACCAGATTATTTGGCTCCAGGCAAAAATAAGGCAGTTTCCCTGTGCTGCTTCTCCCCGTTTCCATATCTAGGTGCTAGATTGCTGGCCTGACCTTCCCATAGGACCTAGGTGCCTTAAACCCCAAGATTTCTTTTTTTTTTTTTTAAAGATTTATTTATTCATGAGAGATATATAGAGAGAGAAGCAGAGACACAGGCAGAGGGAGAAGCAGGCTCCATGCAGGGAGCCCGACGTGGGACTCGATCCCGGGACTCCAGGATCACGCCCTGGGCCGAAGGCAGGCGCCTAACCGCTGAGCCACCCAGGGATCCCCAAACCCCAAGATTTCTAAGAGCATGGGCTGCCATCTGCTGCACCTTGGAGCCAGGCCTGGCCCATGATGGCTTGCTTATATTTGTTTCTGCCTGCTTTGTGCCCTCAAATGACTGAAACGTGAAGAACAAAACAGCAAGTCCATCACTGAGCACTGCATGCTGTCCTAATAGGTACCACTTGGGGACTTCCAACCAGGACCAAACTCACCTCATTTCTGGATAAAGAAGTCAGGCAGTTTAAGGCCGACTTGGGATCTGCCAATGCCCAATACCTCCTTTAAAATCTGCAGGGTCTGCTCTCACGATGGCTTACGTGTCGCTCCCAAAAACTTATCACTAAAAGGTACCCCGTGCCTCAAAACACGTTGCCCAAAAAGCCACATCGTACAATCCGACTCAGAGGCTGCTGCCCTCTCACTGGCCAAGGAGCAGAGTGAGGCTATAATGCCACTCACACTCCTCTACAAGAGAAAGGCTGCAGGTGGGGAGGCAGATGTTCCCAGGTTATGCTTCCTGCCCTACAGCATGAAAACTGCAGTGTTCATTCCCCTTCTATAGGAACACAGTAAGTCTCAGAAAGGCGACGGGCTGGTTCTGACAGTGACCAAAGAAACCATTTCTGTACATTCAAGAAAGACAGTTTTTAGTAGTTGCTTTGACAATCGCAACATCTGGCCTGCAGCTACCTTCTGACCAGATACACAGTATCTATGTGCTAGAAATAAACATGGAAGACAAAAGCCCCATCCCTCTAAGTTAAATTTAGTAACGAGTAGTATAATAAAACTTTCAAGTAGTATAATAAAACTTTCGAGCATGACCCAAACATGTATCTCAACTCTACTCTTGTGGAAATCTTTCGAAAGTCCCTTTTTTGCTGGGATAAACTTTAAAGTCTCCCTTCTGTTTTTCTATATTTAGAACTGAGCAGTCCAATGAAACAACCATCAAAGGATACTGTTGGATTTCATGTCTCTGTGGATGATGTTCTTTGCATGCAAATAGCTGTGAAGGAAAATAAATCAATTAAAAACAGTCTGAGGGACATGGGTAGAAAGTGCTTCAAATTACAGCTAGGAAGGAAGCCACCTGAAAGCCTGTCACCTGGCGAGGAACTAAAGGTGGGGACCAGGTGGGCGCTGAAGCAGGCTAGGCCACATCGCACCTTATCTGGAGGTGAGGCCACAGTGATTTAAACATCACTTCTACTCAAAGTAATTGACAACCCAAATGTCCATCAGCTAATGAATGCATAGATGAAGGGTGGCCTACCCATACAACAGTATTGCTCGGCTAGAGAAAAGAGTGAGGTACTGACCCGTGCTACATACAGCACGGATGAGCTGCTCAACACTGTTATGCTAAATCAAGCCAGACACAAAAGACCTCATGGTTCTTTCCATCTATTTATTTAAGAGAGTGAGCAAGTGGGGATGGAGGGAGGGAAACGGGGATAAACACTCCATGCTGAGCACAGAGCCTGATGCAGGGCTCAATCCCGTGACCCTGAGGTCATGACCTGAACTAAAACCAAGAGTCAGATGCTCAACCGACTGAGCCACCCATATGCCCCAACCTCATCTTGACTAAACTTCTAAAATTAGATAGTGGGAACATCTGTACAACTCTGTGATGTACTAAAAACCACTGACTTGTACACATTTGAGGGGTGAATTTTACAATATGTGGATTATATCCATTTTTTAAAAAGTAATTCTGACTAGTTATTTCTTAAAATGTGTAATACATAAATCCCATATGAATTTTTAAGTAGAATGTGAGATTTTACATAGTACCGGCAAGCGCAGCTTTAGCTTATGCCTCCAGACATCTGGGGCTATGAGGAGTTGCCGCTCTTCCACGTAAAAGGGACCTTGACACACACATACACACACCACCACCACCACATCACCCCTACACAGAGAAATGTGTTCAAGCAAAAGACTCAAAAGAGGTACTGTTACCTACAGCTACTAGGGATGACTTTTAAGCATTCTCCAAAAGGAAAATGAATTCTCCAAAAACATCTGTGCAGACCCTCCTGTGGAACAAGCACACCTGCTGGGGGCCATGCCTCAGAGCACACACACCTACAGAGGGCAGTGCCACGGCTGTCCAAGCAGAGGGTTCTGAGCCCACACTATGCTCTTGGGTGTCTGGGTAAATTCTGAGGGCAGTGGCTTGAACCTGAATCTGAGCCCCAAGGCAGGTAGCCTCAGCTTGGGTGAGAAACCTGGAGTTCTCACTCCTTTGGCCCACCCCAGAGGCTTACTTTCCAGCTGTGAAACAATAGCACAGAAACCACTTAGCCCAGGTCCCGATGTAGGGCAGGTTGATACCTGAACCTCTCTAGTCCACAAGCCATCTATCTACTCACTCCATTCCCTGAGCAGTCTGGCGGGCGATGTCAATCAACTGGAACATCTGGAACTTAGTCTCCTGGACATGCAAGTGTTTATAGAGGC